TATTATTTCCAGTAAGATGTTTTTTGGTATCGGTATGAAGTTTGTGAGTACATCCCATCCGTAGCTGGCTCAAGCGTATCGGGAATTCATGAAGTCATACAAGCAACAAGGTCATATGTTACGAGTCCTGAGGTCAGAGATTCCCCGTCAAGAGGCATGGTACACACCTCATCATGTAATTGTGCAGCAGAATGATTCCAGGTGAAAACTGAGGGTGGTATTCAACGCATCTCAGCGTACGAAGGACAGGCACTTCTTAATCTCCTTTGTGCTTACAGGCCCCCTGTTGCAAACCGATCTTTCACTAATTTTACTCAATTGGCGTAGGTACCGAGTGGCGTTCTCGACGGATATTGCAAAAGATGTTTCGTCAAATTCGAGTGAAGCCGGTGCATCAAGATTATCAGCGGATTATCTGATCGTCCGACACATCATCAGAACCGGTCGAATTTCGCCTAAATACGGTCACTTATGGCACAACCTGCGCTTCCTATCTGGCGATTCGTACCCTGTCGCATTTGGTTGGGAATGAAGGTTCGCGGTTCCCGCTTGGGTCACATGTCAACGATACCTTTGCAGGTGCGGACGACATACCGACGGCGGTTTGAAAATGAGTTGAGCTTGTTGAGTTATTAGCTTTTGCTGGTATCTAGCTAGATAAGTGAGCGGCTAATTGTATAGAATTTCCCAATTTCGTGAGAGTTTTTATGCCGAGGCAAGTTACCTGTCTCGCTTAAAATTGTATCGATTGATTTATCTCTACCCTTTCCTATCTTACTCATTTCGGCGATGAAATCATTACTGAATTCACTACCTAAATCATTAATTATTTCCGGTCTTATATAATCTAAAACAACTTTGAATATGATTTTAAAGATTTATATGCTGTAACGTTTCTTCCTCCAGATAATGACGCGTATCGTTTAGAGCGCTATTTCCAATTTTCTATTCTTGTCCGTAATTTTTTTACGCTCGGTTTGACTTTAAGTTAATTAAGATGTCAAATCGTTGATTCTCGCTTCGTACAAACTTAAATTTCTATAATCAATGAAGTTTAACATCTCATTTGCAAAGAAACTTCTAAGAAACGCATTTCTCTTAGTCTCGTAGTTTCTAATTAGATACCAGGAACCTGATCCTAAAATAAAAGCGTGCACAGTACGGAAGTGGGAACCAGCACGACCGTACAAGCTCACATTTAATGGTCCTTCGAGCTGGATTGCTTAACGAAGTTCGCGAACGATCTGCAAGTACGATCGCGAAATCAACCAAGGAGAACGGCAGTAGCATCATCGCCAGGGAGGAATAGGAAAACGCAATCAGAGACAGTACACGATGTCAAGCCACGCAGCATCAACACTTGCATCTGCCGTCGGAAGGTATCGTTATCGATAACAGGTCAGTCTCATTTCCTTTCATAGCCTATCCTTCTCTTCCATTTTCAATATTACTACTATCTCGTCATAAGCATAGCTGAGCAATTAAAAGAATTAAAAATAAAGCGTGGTCAGGCCAAGGCCTAGGGTTACTAGAACAAAGGCCTACGTTGACAGATTATCACAAACGAATATCGACGAACAGCAACTCAAGATACATCGCAAAGAGGTGTCGATAAGAAAGCGTGAATTTTTAGAACTATAGGGTAAAATCGGGTTGAAAGAGGATGCGTCTGACCACGACGCCGAGATTGAAGCGAAAACACATGTTATGCAGTCGCGTCCAAAATCGATTGATTATTGATAGCATTAGCGCCTTCTGCGCATTTAACGCCACCGCACGCACCTTCTCCGACACAATCGTAATTATCCGTGGAATCTAACGGGGCACATCAGGTTGCCAAAAATAGAGTTACCGCAATTTAGTGGATCGTACGCAGAGTGGTATTCGTTTCGCGATACATTCAAATCGTTAATTCATGAAAATTCATCGCTATCGCAGATTCAAAAATTTCATTATCTTTGCTCGTCACTAAAGGGCGAGGCGACGGACAAAACGCTGTCGTTGGAAATTTCAGAGGTCAATTATGAAGAGGCGCGGAAATCATTGCAAATAAGCGCAGAATAGTACATACACACATATGTTGCAAAGGGAAAATAGCGTTGCTTTGCGCCAATTAGTGGACGTTGCTTCGAGAAATACGAGGGCACTTAGTGCACTGCAACGACCGGTCAATCAGTCAGATGGTTTGCTCGTATGCATGGTGGTAGATAAATTAGGTGCAAAAACGAACGAAGAGTGTGAAACCAAGCTTTCACCGTCGGAAGTGCCCAACTTCGCTCAAATAATGGAATTTTTAACCCACCGGTTTCAAGAATTAGAAGCGATAACGAAAACTCCAACGCCGCACGTGACGAATCATAACCGGCAGAAACTGCGCCAAGCCTTGTTTTCGCATGTGACTGCAAATACATTCGCGTGTCCAGTATGTAAAGAAAACCACTATCTTCATAAATGTGAACTTTCAAGGAGATTTCAGTTAAGGATCGCGTTTCAGAGGCAAAAGTAAAGAAGTTATGCCTTAATTGCCTGCGGTCGACAAATCACTATGCCATCGAGTGTAATGCGAGTCGGTGTGAAATATGCAACCGAAAGCATAACACCTTGCTACATACCCGGTCGGAGCAGTCGTAGGGTTCTGTTGCCGTCGCCAACGAACGCGGTGAGTCAAGCAGCGGTAGCAAATATAGGTCGCGGATTAAAAGCAGCACCTCATCGGGAGGCGTTGCTTTTGACAGCAAAAATTAAAGTATTAAACGTGCAGGAAAAACTAATAACCGTTCGAGCTTTATTGGATTCGGGGTCGCAAATAAATGTAATCACGCGCAACTTAGCGCAACATCTAAGGCTGCAAATAAAAGTCGGATCGTCGGAATCGGTCAAACGACGACGCAGCCGTTACATCAAGTGGATATTGCGGTCAAGTCAAATTGTAACAATTATCGGAGAAAAATAGATTGCGTGATATTCAAAGCAATAACACAGAAGTTACCAGCGCTATCTATGAACAAGAGTGTATTTGCAATTCCCGGTAATATAAAATTAGCGGATCCCACGTTCTATAAAAGCACAAATATTGACGTACTATTAGGAATAAAAGTCTACCTAGAGATCCTATGCACGCTTCAGATAAAAGTAACGCGTTCGCATCCAACCTTGCAAAAAACGCAGTTGGAATGGGTGGTAGGCGGATTTTTACAAGATGTAAAAGGCAGCTCTAAAAGGGTGGTGTGTAATATAGCGACTCAAGTGCAGAGTGTTGACAAATTAATATCGAGGTTCTGGGAACTGGATAACATCACGGATGTTCATCCGCTTACAGAGCAGGAAAAGTACTGCGAGGAGCACTTTAAAAGAACGCACAGACGGGACACGGACAGTCAGTTCGTCGTGCAACTCCCCTTTATAGAAGAAAAGTTTGTAGGCCTCCAAGATAATAGGACCGCGGCATTAAATCGTTTTTTCCCCTAGAGCGCAAGTTAACAAAAAATTTAGCATTGCGAGATGCGTATACAATTTTCATGAAGGAATACAAGGACTTAGGGCACTTGCAGACTGTACCAAATGATCAATTAACTCCTTTAAATAACTATTACGTACCACATCATGCGGTTTTAAGTGAGAAAAGTGTAACGACAAAGTTACGGATGGTATTTGACGCGTCAGCCAAATCTAATTCGGGAATATTATTAAACGACGCATTGATAATCGGGCCAAATATACAAGACGACTTGTTTTCCATAATAATCAGGTTTAGAACCTACGCGTACGTTATAACGGGAGACATTGAAAAAATTTATAGGCAAATTCGCGTTGACGAATCGCAAGTTTGCCTGCAGAAAATATTTTGGCGTGACGATATGCGAAAGCCAGGGAGCACTTATGAATTATTAACACTAACGTACGGTACCGCGTCGGCGTCATTTTTAGCTACGCGATGTCTAAAGGAGATAGTGAATTTAGAAGAGAAAAAGCATCCGATAGGCGCAGAGGTCGTACGACACGATTTCTATGTAGACGCCTTGCTGACCGAAGCAGATTCGATCGCGAAGATTGTAGAAATACGCGAATAAGTAAGCAAGGTATTAGCCAAAGCGGGTTACAAGTTACACAAGTAGGCGGCTAATTCGATGGAAATCCTACAGCGCATCCCCGAAAAGGTCGCTTCTGCGAAGATGCAAAATCTAAACAAGGAGGGCGACATAAGAGCATTGGGCGTCGTATGGAATCCCGGCGATGACGCTTTTCTATACTCCGTCACGATTACGGTGCCACTACAACGGGTCACAAAAAGATTCATATTGGCGTCGGTGGCGAAGGTATTCGATCCGTTAGAATTAATACGGCCGGTTACTATAATGGGAAAAATTATTATACAAAGGTTATGGCAAAGAGGCGTGCATTGGGACGAATACATACCAATGGAATTAGAGACAGCCTAATTATAATACATAAAAGCATACGATACAATATTTGTATGCATGGCGACAAAGGCAGTTCACCTAGAGTTAGTGACAGACATGTCAACGGATTGAATTATAGCGTGTCTGAAACGATTCATGGAACGTCGGGGTAAACCTGCTAATATTTATTCAGACAATGGGTCCAACTTCGTTGGGGCAAATCGTACGTTAGGAGAATTAAAAATACAAGTCTTCAATGATATAGTGAAAGTCAAGATTAGCGATCAGTTAAGCGTCGAAGGAGTGACCTAGCATTATATTCCGCCAGGCGCACCAAATTTGTGCGGGTAGGTTTGGTTTGTGGTAGGCGGCAGTAAACGCCGCGAAACATCACTTGAGGCGCTTTGTAGGGAATGCTTCACTAGCATTCGAAGAGTTGTGTACCGTGCTAACGCAGATAGAAGCAATATTAAATTTATATATATATACCTATATCCACCGATAACAGCGACCTAAACGCTCTTACTCCTGCCCATTTTCTTATCGAAGTCTCTCTGCTTGTTCCGTCATTTATCGGAACAGTAGGAGTAAGATTATACAACGGAGGATTTGGATAAGATACGCATTTACAAAGATGCCCGACCGAGGACTATGCAAAGAAATAGAAAGTATTTGTTTAGGACCTTTGGGTTTTATTGCGTCGGCATCTATTCATAGATTATAAGGAACAAATATAGCAATCACATAGGGCATCTTATCTCGAATTCCTAGAAACTGGAACGCAGTATATTTGAACAGATATCCCCACTCCAAGGTCGCATCGGAGCCCTTTGGTGGGATGTATCGTGGAGGAGGGGAGGAGGGCAGTTACATTTTAGCCCAAAAATAGTGAATCAGTTTTCCAGACTCGTTAGGCGGAATCACATCCAAGTGATCCGAGCAGTTTTCCACACTCGTTAGGCGGAATCACATCCAAGTGATCCGAGCAGCATTCAATACATCATACAAGTACAACTAGTCAGTAACCCGAGGTTATTACTAGTAATAAGTATCAAATTTAGCATAGATCAGTATACAAGGCCCAAGCACCATACTGATGTCTTGGAAACGAGTATTAATAAATAGTCACATTTCATTACAATTTGAAGTGTATTATTTGGATCAACTCCTTCCGTCCTTACAACGCAGAAGTGGAAAGTGACAGCAGTCTTTTTCCTAGCACAGTGAGAAAGTGCGTGCACGAAAGCGTGCACAGTACGGGAGTGGGAACCAGCACTACCGTACAACGTACATTTGGTTCTGCGAGTCGGATCAATCGTACATAAATGGTCCTTCGAGCCGAATCAATCGTACATTAAATGGTCCTTCGAGCCGGATTGCTCTACGAAAGGTCGCGAACGATCAACAAGCACGTTCGTGAATTTAATCAACGAGAGCAGCAATAGCGTCAACGCCGAGGAAGAATAGGAAGACGCAGGAAGAGGCAATACACGGTATCCTGCCACGTAGCATCGACACGAGCATCTGCCGTCGGAAGGTACCGTTATCGGTAACAGGTCAGTCTCTTTTCCTTCTTAGCCTATCCTTCTCCTTCATTTAATATTGCTACTATCTCGGTACAAACATGGCTGAGCAATTAAGAGATTTACACATTAAACGGGGTCAGATTAAGGCATATATGACTAGGGCAAAGAGTCATATTGATAAACTAGCACAAACGCGTAGTACACCCCGCCTCAGGTTGCGTCGCGATGAGCTCTTTGTCAAATTGCGTGAATTCGAAGAAGTGCAAACCAAAATCGAACTAATTGATGATACATCCGATCACAGTGTGGAACGTGAATCTTTCGAAGACGCGTTTTTTACAATCGTCGGCAACATTGACGAATTATTGGAAGATTGGTCGAATTCAGCGCAGTCCGCGACGACGGATACACCTTCTCCGACGCAATCACAATTATCCGCGGGTTCTAACGGGCATATCAGGTTGCCGAAGTTAGAATTACCACAATTCGGTGGATCGTACGAAGAGTGGTATTCATTTCGCGATACGTTTAAGTCACTAATACATGAAAACTCGTCGTTATCGTCGACCCAAAAGTTTCATTATCTTCGCTCGTCACTAAAGGCGAGGCGGCGGACATAACGCGGGCATTAACGGTTTCGGACGTAAATTACGAAGAAGCGTGGAAATTGCTACAAAATAGATACGATAACAAGCGTAGAATAGTGCATACACATATAAGGGGTATTATGGATATACCTAAGATTCAGAAAGAAAATAGCGTTGCGCTGCGCGAATTAGTTGACGCTGCCGCAAGAAACACGAGGGCACTTAGTGCACTGCAAATGCCGGTGAATCAGTCGGATGACTTACTGGTATGCACGGTGGTAGAAAAGTAAGACGCAAAACGAACGAAGAGTGGGAAAGCAAGCTTTCACCGTCAAAAGTGCCCACCTTCGCACAATTAATGGAATTCCTGACGCACCGGTGTCAGGTATTAGAAGCAATCGCAAACCCACCAATGCCGCTCGTGACGAATCACAACCGACCGAAACCGCGTCAAGCATTGTCTTCGCAGGTAACTACAAACATACTCGCGTGTCCGGTATGCAAGGAAAGCCACCAACTTTACAAATGCGAAAGGTTCTGGAAGATGCCAGTTAGGGATCGCGTCTCCGAGGCAAAGAAAAAAGGGTTATGCCTTAATTGCCTGCGGTCGACGAATCATTTTGCCATCGAATGCAATGCGAGTCGGTGTAAGGTGTGCAACCGAAAGCATAACACCTTACTACATACCCAGTCGGAACCGTCGCAGAATTCCACGGACGTCGCTAACGAACGCGGCGAGTCAGACAGCGAAGCGGCGGTTGCAAACATAGGTCGCGGGTTAAAGGCAGCATCTCATCGGGAGGCGTTGCTTTTAACAGCTAAGGTCAAGCTATTAGACTTTAATGGAAAACCAATAACCGTTCGGGCATTACTGGATTCGGGGTCCCAAGTAAACATAATAACGTGTAACTTAGCGCAGCGTCTAAGGCTGCAATCCAAGGAATTCCGAGCGCCAATCGCCGGAATTGGTCAAATGACGACACAACCGCTACATCAAATGGAGGTTGTGCTCAAGTCCAACTATAATAACTACCGGAGAAAAATAGATTGCGTAGTACTAAATTCAATAACCAAGAAATTMCCAGCCATATCTAAGAACGGCAATGACTTCGCGATCCCCGATAACATAAGGTTAGCGGACCCCACATTCTACGAGAGTGCGAACATCGACGTGTTATTGGGAATAGAGGTTTATCTGGAAATACTATGTAAGGGTCAGATTAAAGCAACGCGGTCGCATCCAACCTTACAAAAAACGCAGTTAGGATGGGTAGTAGGCGGCTGTTCGCATGAGGTAAAAAGCAGCCCCAAAGAGGTCGTATGTAACGTAGCTACCCAGGTACAGAAGGTTGACGAGTCGGTGTCGAGGTTCGGGAAACTGGATACCGTCACGACTGTTCATCCGCTGACAAAGAGGGAAAGGTACTGCAAAGAGCACCTTAATAGAACATACGGACGGACAACGGTAGCTAAAATTCTAGCATTGCGGGATGCATACTCAAGCTTTAGGAAAGAATACAGGGATTTAGAGCACTTGCGGACGTTACCAGACGATATAGCAACTCCGCTAAGTAATTATCACATACCACATCATGCGGTCTTAAATAAGAAAAGTGCAACGACAAGGTTGCGTGGGGTGTTTGACGCGTCTGCCGAATCGAATTCCGGCGTATCGTTAAACGAAGCATTGGCATGGATAAGGTCGCCATTGCGAAATTGGACTACGTTCGTGTCCAATCACGTGGCGGAGATGCAGGAAGGAATACCGAGCGCGAAATGGGGACATGTGTCTTCCGCCGAAAATCCAGCGGATTTCGTATCCAGGGGAGTCACCCCAACAAAACATTTAAGGCGTGATCCATGGTGGCACGGACCAGGAATTGGCTTCGAGAACGCGCCTGATACAGTGTCAGAAGCGCCACTCGAAGAATTGCCGGAGAATCGAAATACGGGTGTCGCGTGTACGACCACGATGATAGGCTGCGACCGGAGGTCGCGAGAGTTTTGCGATATTCAGCAAATATTCGAAATCCACCCGACCAGCACAGGTAATAGCGTAATGCGGCAGGTTTGCAGGAACGTGCGGCGTGCACAAAACAAGGACATCGGTCCATTAACTGTGGCAGAAATCGCGAAGGCCAGGGATCGTTTAAGAAAATAGTGTCAAGCGCAGGGGTTCAGAGAGGAAATAAGGGCATAATCMAAAATTAGTAATCAGCTAAGCATTGGGGGAGTGACCTGGCATTACATGCCGCCAGGCGCTCCAAATTTCGGTGTCTTGTAGGAAGCGGCAGTAAAGAACGCGAAATATAACTTGAGGCGCGTGGTAGGAAATGCTTCATTAAGGTTCGAAGAGTTAAGTACCGTACTTACACAGATAGAAGCAATATTGAACTCCCGCCCTCTATTACCTATATCCGCCGATCCTAGAGACCTAAACGCCCTTATTCCTGCACATTTCCTTATCGGAGACTCCCTGCTGTCGGTATCGGAACCGGACATAAGGGAGATAGCAATAATTAGACTATCACGGCTACAACTAATCGAGCAGCTGCGCCAGCATTTTTGGAAACGCTGGTCGAAGGAATATTTAAATCTACTCAACCAGAGGCCAGCGAGATCTATACGAACACGTGATCCCCTGCAGGAAGGCCACTTGGTTGTCATTCGAGATGACAATTTACCCCCACTACGATGGCTGTTGGGCAGGGTGGGGCAATTAATACCGGGCGCAGACGGAGTCGTTCGGTCAGCCATGATTCGAACATCAAAAAAAATTATGAAGCGGGCTGCAACAAGGCTGAGTGTTCTACCAATAGAGCAGCCATAGGCGGTCATAAGAATTTGTAAATTTGTAAAATGTATCCATTGTATTGTTAACAGATGGTGCTTAGAAGATTTAGTTAGTAGCAAAATACCAATTTATTTCATGTCACATTATATTTGTTGGCCAGACTGTACATATCAGTGCCATTAGATTCTAAGTTTTATTTTGAAAGGCAGGCCTTTCATGGAGGCCGGCATGTTCCGTCATTGTCAGAACACGTAATAATGTATACAAATGGGATATAAAAAAAGAAGGCGCCCGACTTCTATTTGCACCCAAATGAAAGGGGAATAATGCAGCAGTTTGAAATACAAATAATAATACGAAACTATCACAGTAATCATTTAGGTTGTTTAAGTATAAATAATTGAAATTAAATAAACAATTATTTAATAATCGTAAAAAAATGAGTTAATATTAATATTAATAGTAAATAGTAATAGTAATAATCAGTACGTTACTATATTCAGAGTAGTACAAGAGGAATATTAACTTAAATATACGATTTGCGTGAACAGATTTTGGCAATTAATACGTTTGAGTTCGTGCTCCATGTGTAGTCTTCATGGTTTCAACGTTTGTTTATACTCATACGATATTGGTCGAGACGTTGCGTGCTTTAAATCCATAACAACGAAGGTCTATTATATAACCTATAACAAAAACGGATTTATTAAATTTTTTTGTCATAGACTTTAACTTACCACAAAAAGCTGGTAACGTGATTGGATAATTTGAAATATACAGTTTTTTTGAGAAAAGTTGATCCGTTATATAAAAGCAACATATTACTTGATCTTATTACGAATTCATCGAAAAACACTCTTTATATATAGTATACTTTTAAATAATTTAATATAATAAATCATTTTTATATATATCAATTTATATATATTGTGAAAGTGCCGAAAAATACTTCTATTAGTTTCAGTGAAGATATTCTTATTGATAGTAGTGACAAAGATGAATCCGTTTCAATTGAATGGAATTAATAATAACTTTATTATAAGATCATTGTATGATCTCTTGTAAGAGCATTGTAAAATGTAAATTGTAAAAAAAATAAGATTTGCATGAATAAATAGTATTATCTGCTTTGTGCAGATAAAAATTATGACTGTCTTTTGCGTTGTATGCACCGTTCCTTGTATTGTATTATATTACATGTCTTTAATCATTACATTGATCAATGCAAAATCTTTTATAATTATAATCTATTTTCATGTTCAAAGGAAATCATTGAACTTACATTCTTCACCAATTATTGAGGACAAAGTTAAGAAGAATTTTAAGAAGCACCCTATAATTAATTCAAATAGTGACATTATTAGTGATGTTTATGACAAGTTTTCTGATTCGAAATCAGAATCAGAAGCCGATAATATTTCAGATGGTATATTTTATGTACAATTTATACAAAATATGTACACATACTCGACAAATTTACCAACTTATTTTTCTTGAAATCGAAGTCTTTTTTGAACAAATTTTATTCTATGTTATTGACTTAGTTCTTCAAATAGAATCGTCTCCTATTCGCTTGTACGAACAATTAAAAAACATCCCGTATACAAATATCTATTAATGATTACAAATTGAAGCTTTAAAGTTTCTTTTATTTTGACTTAATTTAACAGATGATTCTAAGCCGACTTCTTCTAAAAATGCTGAAAATTATAAAAGGGCAGTTGTTAGGCATGATTATTCAAAGGATAATGTAAAAGAATTTTAATTAGAAAAGTATTTTGAATCTATTCATGATTCTGTTGATATTAATGATACTAATGAATCTGAAAATTCAGAACAAAAGTTGGTTAATGACAAGAAAAATTTAGCAGAAAAAGAAAATATTAATACTAATCGACAAAACAAAGAACTATCTATTGAGGATTTAACTTATAGTGATATTGATTCAGATACAGATTAAGGTATTACAACACATTTATGTAATATTATTCATATTATTGTTTCAGAAAAGATAACTAACATAAATTTTTTATTTCTTTACATTCTTGTCAATGTGGGATTAGAAAAAAGTCATAAGTAAAGATGTGAATAAGTGTAAAGGCAAGAGACGATCATTGCCAAATATTTACAAATATATTATATAATGTTTTTCTTGTCTAGTTAAGTATAAATAGATATTTCTAGGATAGGAAGATAAAGGCATTTTTCATATTAGCAAATGTAATAGCTATTTCTAGAATAGAACAATTTTTAAAATCCTACATTAATAACAACTTTAGATTTTCATAGATTTAATATAAACACTTATAAAAAAAAACGAATAAAAAAGAAATTAAGAATAAAAATCGTGATATTAACTTTTAGATTATTTACCAAAGAATAGAAGCGACGAAGAGAACGTATCAGCAATACCTTTTGCGAAACAGGAAATTGGTGCTGGAAATATAAATCGACTAGTAGCTCAAGAAAAAGCTTTTCTTATTTGTAATTTCGACATCTACAGAACCAAATAGATAAAACGAAGGTAAAAAAATATTAATATATATGAGTTTCAAAGGGAAAATTGAAGACAGTTAATAAATTTTGATGAACAAATTTATTTGATCTTGTTGAACGTTTCGTCCCTT